GTGTCTCTCCTCCTCTCTGTATATCTGACTTTGCAGTAAAAATAAGTAAATCTTAAAAAAAAAAAAAAATAGATGAGCAAATGGAGTTAAAAGATTGGCTGGGGCAGATATCTGGCCTAGTTACCTACATCCCATATCAGGGCACCTAGGTTGGTTTCCTGCGTCTGGCTCCCAGCTGCAGCTTCCTCCCATTGAGGACCCGGGGAATTAGCACAGCACAGCTCCCCTGCTTGGGACCCTGTCATCCATGTGGGAGACCCAACTGGCACCCCTGTTGCTGCCATTTCGGGAGTGAACCAGCTGATTGGGGACAGGCGATAAGAGCAGAAATCAAAATACCTGGGATGGAGAAGCACCTCCTCCTTTCTGAGACAGCCTGGCATGTGCTCTAGAGAGTGTTTCAGACAGTGGACAGAGGAAGAGTAGGGTTTCTGGCATCCTGGTTCTTAGTTCAGTTTCTCCCTGTCTGTACGCCCTGAAACAAGCTACTTGTCTGAGCCTCGGCTGCCTGTCTCTCACGTGAGTGGGAGCTGAATGAGAGTGTTGGCCAGTGCTCCAATGTGCAGGGCAGGTGCACAGGCCTGGGAATGGGGGAGGAGTCCATGGCCAGCCTCAGTCACCTGGGGTGGGACCGTCTCAGGGGCTTCCTATTTGTGGTCCCTGTGGGAATCACCAGTACACAGCCGGCCCGTGGTTCTGTCATGTGTAGCTCCTTTTACCATGTTTGTTTTGTGCCTTGTAAATGCCTTTAAATGGGGGTGAGGCAAGGCCTTTGCCCCCTTCCTCCAGGCTTGCAGGTCTGACTGGGCCTTCCGGTTCCCTGCACCTACATCCTACCTAGGGCCCACTCAGTACAGGGGTCTGATACAACTCAGGCCCTCCTGCACCTGGAGGAAGGTGAAGGGACTTGTGAGACAGCTTAGGAGTTTGGGCTCAGTGTCTTCCCTGAGAACCCAGCAGGGACTTCGTGTGAAGGTGCTGGGAAACCCGTCCTTATTCAGGAGAGTGCAGCCCAGCGGGAGGCCTGTCCTGAGCTGCTAGAGCCAGGACAGAGAGCCTTGTCTCTCCAACCCCATTGGCCACACCATTCCCTCCTCTCTCCTTCCCCTTTCCCTGCAGTCCATGAGCCTCATTGAGATCGGGAACCCTTCCCAGAGCCTGGAGAATGTCTGCCGCTGGGCCTACCTGCAGCAGAAGCCAGACACAGACCACGACGAGTACCACGATCATGCCATTTTCCTCACTCGGCAGGACTTCAGGCATGCAAGGTGAGCTGCCCTCAGGTGGGGAATCGGGGGGCAAGTGTAGTGGGAGGAGCATGGTGGAGGAGCCATTGGCTTTGCCAGATGCACCTGTGCACTTGGCCCATCCCAGGAAGGCGTGTCCAGTGAGGGTCTCTAGGCCAGTGTTGGCAATCCCACCACACCCCAGGGGTGGTGAAATGGGAAGGGACTGGGCCAAGCATCCAAGACCAGATTGGGTTTCTTCATGTGTATTTGGAGATTTCAGGAAAACAGATTTGAATACGTTTCCAACCCTTGAAAATTGAACATGCGTGGACTCTGACTGATGGTCAAAAGTTTATTAGTGGCATCAGACTTTATACACTGAGGGTCATATGGGATAAGGGAGGGAGTATTGAGCTTATCAACAAACCCATCAACCGTTTCTATGCTTTTGTTTGGAACTCCTTTTGTTTTGTATATTCCACCAAGGGTTCTCATTCACATCTGTCCACTCAACTCATATAAATGATATCCAATCAGTTATACAAAAGGTATCCATTCGGTTGTTATCATACAACTATTATCCAATCAATTGTAATCCTGTGCTCGCTGACCTTCCAGGCTCATAATGTCCTTCTACAGAAAGTCATGCATACATGGAGGAACAGAGACAGAGGGGGGAGACCTTCCATCCACTGGTTCACTCCCCAAGTGGCCACAATGGCCAGAACTGAGTCAGTCTGAAACCAGAAACCAGGAGCTTCTTTTAGGTCTCCAACACAGGTGCAAGATCCCAAGGCTTTGGGCTGTCCTCAACTGTTTTCCCAGGCCACAAGCAGGGAGCTGGATAGGAAGCAGGGCTGCCAGGATTAGAACTGGCACCCATATGGGATCCCAGCATGTGCAAGGTGAGACCTTAAGCCACTGAGCTACCACGCTGGACTTAAACAGGCTCATTTTTAACAATCAGGCTTCCGGCTCTGGAGGTGGGGATAAAGTGGTCAAACTTGTCCTTTGGTAACAAAGTGACACCCCTGAAAGGACCAGGAACCTCCAGCTGGAGGCAGAGCCTCATGGCCCAAATATCTTGTCAGGCTCCCACCTGTCAGTGTGGGCATGCTGGGGCATGGGGGACAGTCAGATTCCAACAGTGGAACACATTCAAACCAGAGCAAGAGGCTTTCCTGCCTGCACCTGCTTGCCTAACAAGAAAAGGCAAGGAGAGAAGGCACAGGGAAGGTCGGGCTGGGCTGAGAGAAGAGCAAGGACCTGGGCTGCACCCCGCCCAGCAGGGCCTCAGGGTCCCTGGGACTCTCAGCAGCAGCCAGCAGCACAGAGCTCAGGCCTTGGACACCACTGGGCTGCCTTCTCCCAGCCAAGGGGTCATGAGTATGCCCGCCTGTCTTGGTCTCTGGTGTTCCATTCCACTTGTGCCTACTCAACATTTTGTTTTGTTTTTAATTCTCCCCTGGAGCAAAAGTCTGCATGCACACAGGCAACCTGGAGAGAAGTGAAAAACATCCACAAATGAGCTGTCTCCCTCCCCCGCCCTTAACTGGGGCAGCTTGCTCCTGTCTGCTCTGCTGCAGCAAGGGGCTGGGAGGATGGCAGGGCTGGGGTGGGGGGTGGGAGTAGGGTGTCATCCATGCCCTTGAGGTTCAGAGCCATGGACTCTGGTGGGATGCAGCAAGAGGGGTTCAGAGTGAATGAAAGGCAAGGGCTGGGTGCTCAGCCAGAGAGGGAGACTCCTGTGGACTGCCTGGTGCCCTGCAGCAGGAGGGGAGTAGCCTAGGGAGCCAGCCCCAGGCGGCTCCTCGTTCTGTTAGTCCCTATTCCTCATGTGGGCTCCATGTGCACTGGGGCCACCTGACTTTGCAGCACCCCCGGTGGAAGCCTATCTGGTGATTAGTGAATCTGTAGGCATCTAAACCCTGACTATTTGAAGCATTTTAACACCTAACCACGTGAGAGAGCCAGACATGAAGTTGCTGGTTTAAGGCAACACTCCACAAATGCTCAGTCACCCAGCACCCGAAGCATGCTGGGTGGGGAGGGGGCGACTTCCTGTCTGCTTTGTTTGCCTTCTTCCTGCGGCAGACACGCAATGCCTCTTTGCAGGTGGCTGAGGGTCTGCTGAGCCTCATGGGTGTCCCGTGTGGCTATACTAGGCTCTCTGTGCCTGCTGGAACTGGGGGTGGTCACAGTGTGATCTCCCCTTATTCTTGGGATCCTCAGGGCCTGGGGACTGTGCCCCAGATCTATTGCTGGGAGGACCCACCCATTCTGTCGGTGAGGGCCTCTGCTCTTGTTACCATCACGGCAGGAACCAGACTTCCCTTCCTGCACAGGAACACAGCACTCCCTTCCCTGTGCCAGCCCCCTGGCCTTTCAGCCCCACTGAGTGCCCCCACTAGAGGGGACAGCAGCCAGCATTTCTGTGTGTGCTTCCTCTGTCCTTCCTGGCCGAATGGGAATAGCTTTAGTGAGAAGAGAGGGGATGACAGTGGTCCAGCACAGACATGACCAGGATTCCTGGTGGCCTGGAGCCAGGCCTGCTGGACCTCTTTGGTTTTCTTATTTTTTTTAATTGTTACTTTATTATAGTATTTATTATGAAGTTGAGGCGGTTGCAGATCCATGTGGGCCTCTGATTAAGATGGAGAGGATTGTGGAGTTGGGTAGGGTGGGAGTAGGAAGGTGAGTGCGACAAATGTTTCCGTGGGGGTGTGGGATATGATAGCTCCTTGCTGTCAGACCATCTCAGTCAGCTTAAGAGTCCCAGTGAAGGAAAAAATGTTCCAAGAGTGTTACTCGAGTGGTCTTGATTGTTCTGAAAAGATGTCAGATTTGATACACCAGAGGTGAGAAATTCTAAGGACTGTTGGCTGTCCCTGAGCGTCTCAGTATGCTTGCTGTAAGACCTGGCATGGTGTGTTGTTCAGCTTGCCCTTCTTTCCACCCTTTGGTGGGGTGTCCTAGTCTTTTTGCTTAGACGAGCAAACTGTCTTGTCTCTTGAATACATCTAGGTATGTTCTCTATCCTTGCATGAGAGTCAGCACTGAGGTGGCTCAGTCCTATAACATGGGCTGCACGGTCAGATCACATGATTTTCCCTGAGGTCAGGGATTGATCAAGCACAATGGTCTAGTTGGGAAACCCCTTTAGAGTCCCCACTTAAGAGGTTCTCAGACCTAGACCTCATGTGCTCTGGCTGGTGCAGGGGGCCCAGCATGCCCCCTGTGTTAACCCATACACATGCTAGCAGGTGGCCAGGCCTGGTCTCAGCCCAACTCTTCACAATGGCCTGGTGAGTGTGGTGGTCTAGTAAGGAGATTCTCTCTTTCTCTGTTTTCATTTGTTTGTTTGTTTTTAAGATTTTTTTGTTTTTGTTTTTGTTTTTGTTTTTGCCAATTCAGATATACAAAGAGGAGGAGAGAAAGAGAGGAAGATCTTTCATCTGATGATTCACTCCCCAAGTGGCCATAATCGCCAGAGCTGACCTGATCTGAAGCCAGGAGCTTCTTTTAGGTCTCCCACACGGGTTCAGGATCCCAAGGCTTTGGACTGTCCTCAAGTGCTTTCCCAGGCCACAAGCAGGGAGCTGGATAGGAAGCAGGGCTGCTGGGATTAGAATCGGTGTCTATATGGGTTCCTGGCACATTCAAGGCGAGGACTTTAGCTGCTAGGCCACCACGCCAGGCCCAAGGAGATTCTTAAGAACCACCACCATGCCTGCCCCCAGTCCCAGCTCTCATGTTCACAGGTAGGTGCTGTAGCATAGCTGGTATAATTCCAAGGGACCCCCCCCCCAGCAGGCTCAGCCCCGAGCCCTGGCTCTCTCATGTGCCATTGGGTGTCGCAGCCTAGCTGAGGAGACCCTTAAGAACCCCCACTCCAAGCTCTGACTTTTGTGTACATGCATAGATGCTATAGCCCTAACCTGACCTGTGCTGTCCTCAGCCCTGGCTCTTGTGTATACCAGCAGGTACTGTGACCTAGTCAGGCAACTCTGAAGAACCCCCACCAGGCCCACTGGGCTTGTTATTCCAGCTGGGCAATAGTGGAGGCCAGGGGAAAATCCAGAGAGGAACAGCCTGTGCAGTGGGCTCTGTTTGGGTTCAGGACAGGCCTGAGAGCAGTTCAGCAGGCTGTAGGGGTGAGGGGTCAGGGGTCATGGCAGAGACCTGTGCACAGATGGGCAGGTAAAGAAGGACCTGCTGGTGGGTCAGGAGGGAGATGGGACACATCCTCTCACAAGCAGCCCTGATGGCAGGAGCTTTCCAGGTAGGCATGATGATGCATTGGACAGGGACATGGCTCCCTTTGAGGGCTCAGCCAATTCCATTGGAGCTCTGGAGCTGGGCTGGCCAGCCTCTGCCATCCATATATGTGGGAGACCTGGATGGGGCTCCTGGCTCCTGACTTTGGCCTGGGTCAGCTCCAGGTGTTAGGAAGTCAAGCAGTGGATGGGTTTCTCATCTCTATGTCTCTTTCTCCCTTCCCCATAACTCTGTCATTGTGCCTTTCAAATAAATAAAACACATCTGTTTTGAAAAAGGAAAAATAAGACTGTCTTCAAAATTTGACTTTTAACAACAAATCTCATTTTGGACCAAACCAAGAGCAATTGTTGTACTTCATGAAGGTGACAGGCAAGATTTGGAACAGCCAATGGGTAAAGGGGCAGATGAGCGAGTTGGCCAGGCATTTCACCTTCCTTCTAAGTTGACGTGAAATGTTGACAGCATTTGAGACAACGTGAAACTCCTAAAGTAAGAATGTTGACAGCTTCAGCTTGTGAAGTGTCGCTCATCGTAAGAGCCTTTGAAAGCCGAGCTCTGACCAAGAAGACAGGACACACCCTATGAACCCTGTCAGGGAAAGGTGGCCTGTGTCCACCCTTTAGGTGACAGCACCAATGGCTTACTTAAATGATTGGTTCTAAGGAAGGGAAAAAGAGCTGCCTTCAACATGTTACACAGGGCTGGCAAGCTGCTGTGCGAAGGCCACTTCCATCTCACCAGAAGTGACCTCATGCGAAGGCAGCCACAGACCAGAGGTAGGGAGCTTCATAGGAAGTGGAGCAGCTGGGACACGAACTTGTGCCCATGGAGGGCTGGAGCTTGCAAGAGGAGAATGAGTCAATTGAGCCCTCACACCTGCCCCTGCTTTATTTACTCTGTTATTAGTGAGTTGTAAGTTAGGGTTGTATTTTACTACTAAGTTGTAAGTTAGAGTTGTAAGTGCCCTTTATTTTTAATGCTTTCTTTTAGTTTTAAGTAGTTTTTTTCTTTTTAGCAGATTCAATATAGTTTGTAGATCTAATTCTAACAATGTACATTCTAACATTCCCTTTCTTCCTCTCTCTCCCTTGTTTGGTTTGTTTTGTTTTTGAGATTAACATTACAGCAAAAAGGCATAATACTTTACCAGACAAGTTTAACCAATAAAAAGTAGAGACCCTCCTTTGGTGGGATTTTATAAATGGGTTAAGCAACGTCTCTGGAATCATGAGCTGGATGCGCTGTTGTCACTCCCCAAGTGGGTATGTGGGTAACCTTGGTCTTACAGACACTGTGAGGGGCATGCTGTGATCAGGAGGGCAGAGCCAGAGCTGGAGGGAGGCCAGCACGAGGCACCTCCTGCCTGAGCCCTTCCTCTTGGCCTTGGGAGATGGAGGGACATGAGTGCCCAGCCAGTAGCCAGACCTGACCTTGAGTGTGGGAATACCTTTCCTCATGTGCCCCTGGTGCTTTGGCACAGGGCAGGTGGCCCAGGCCTCACAGTGGGGTGGGCTGTGCGAGTAGCCTTGTTTGTGTGATTCAGGTCAAGGGCATGGCTTTTTGTCTGTTCTGCAGCATTGCTTTAAGGGACACTGCATCTGGCTGACACCTGACATCCTCAAACGGGATGGCAACTGGGGCGCCTGGACCCCATTCGGCTCTTGCTCACGCACCTGCGGCACAGGTGTGAAGTTCAGGACCCGCCAGTGTGACAACCCACCGTAAGTTGGCCCCAGTGTCTCCTCAGCGATAGCTGCAGTCCCCCACAAATCCTCGCAGGCCAGATTTACCCTGCAGGCCAGAGCAGAAGGGCAGGTCAGGTCCTGCCACCCACACAGCCTGGAAACCTGCGTTCCTGAGCTGTCAACCATCAACCCACCGTGTCCTTGGGCATGGAGGGGAGCAGGTGCACAGCTGTGGAGGACACAGGGATGGAGAGGAGGCTCTCTCAGTGCCTGGGAGACAGGGTTGGGACCTGCTACCCCAGAGTTGCCTGACAGGGAGAGAGCTTGTGGGGCTACCCTTAACCAGCCTCACCCCCGCAGGCAGACCCCTCTCCCAATCCATGTCCTTCCCCCACCCACAGCCAGCTCTTCATTCCTACCCTGCCCTGATTGCCTGAGAGCATCCCCTACCTAATCCCTTCCCTTGGCCCAGCCAGTGTAGTGTGTGCCCTTAGAGAGTGGACTGTGGGTGAAGCCAGCATCATGGCTAAATCTCTATTACACCAGCACTTCCACCTGCTCATGGGCCTCATGCTGGAGGCTCTGTGGTTATGGCTGTGTGAACACAGGAGGGTTGCTTTCTCTTATTCTGTTCCTGCTTTCTTTTTCCCTCCTTTTTTTTCTCTCTCTTTCATTTTATTTCACTTGTCTAGTGTTTTCAAGACTTCGGTTTATCTGAAAATACTAAAACTCTGGAATTTCACAGGAAATAGCATAAAACAGAGTTGTGACTTCCAAGCTGAGCGCCATCAGTGCAGCTCTAGACTCAGCTCTAGAGGGCATGCATGTTCAGCCAAGCTACACCCCCTGCAGCAGATCGCCCTGTCCACCCACTTGGGCCGTTTGACCATCTGTGATCAGGCTCTGTGCTGGACATGGGGAGCCTGAGGCATCAGCCTTCAGGGTTCCTGGATCAGAGGTTCAACCAGCAAGCTCTTCATCACAATGCCAGAATTCTGGAGCCAACTCACTTTAGGAAGAGAAAAAGTCCACATAGCATATGGCTTGCAGGGTTCAAGTCCAAGATGGCACTACCCCATTGGTTTGGCCTCTGGTGCAGGCAGCAGGTGGCAGTGGAGGTGGGAGGAAGCAGAGGCTGGTCTCTGTGAGAACCAGAGGCTTGGCCTCAAGGATGGGAAGCCTTCCCACAGAGCCCTGCTAAAAAGGTGAGGTTTCCACCTTCTGAATCTACAACCTCAGATTTGAATTCCTATCTGAGTCTGGGGACCAAATCATATCCAGACCACAGCAGAAGTCAAGTTCATCTTAGCCTTACAGGATCTGAAGGCCAGAGCTCAGCAGTGGTCAGCTTTCCCTCAGAATACCTTGCGTGGGGCCAGCTCCCAAGCTTGTCCACGGAACCCTCTCTGCTCATGCTCACTCCTTCCTGTCTGGAGGCCCCAAGCTACTACCCTGGATAGGAGCTGAGGCAGGAAGGAGGCCCTTGCATTCTCACAAACTCTTAAGGACATTTTAAAATTTAGTTATTATTTATAAGAGATGAATAGGGAGAGATCTCCCATCTGCTGGTTCACTCCCCAGATGCCCACAATAGCCAAGGCTGGGCCAGGCTGCAGGCAAAGGCTGGGACCACCCTCTGGGACCTCCCTGTTCCACAAATGGCACCCCAAGTGCTGGCTACCCGGTGGCTCCCAGCGGCAGGTCTTATATTTTTTTCCCCTGCAGCCCAGCCAATGGTGGCCGCACCTGCTCAGGCCTTGCCTACGACTTCCAGCTCTGCAACCGTCAGGACTGCCCAGGCACCCTGGCCGACTTCCGCGAGGAACAGTGCCAACAGTGGGACCTGTACTTTGAGCATGGTGATGGCCAGCACCACTGGCTACCCCACGAGCACTGGGATGGTGAGACCAGGGACAGCAGGGGCTCAGCATCTGGGCTGGTGCAAGTCCAGCTGGGGCCTGCACCCTTCTATACTTCAGGACCCACAGGGCCTGCTGCTGGGGGTGGGTGGGTGGGACTTAGGTTCCAAACAAGGTAGCAATCCCAGGCAAGCCAGAGCAAGGCCAGAGAGGCCAAGCAGGACTGAAGTCCGCCGTCGCCACCTGGTGGGCAGGACTGGAGGTGCAGGACTGGGCCGGCCGGGAATGAAGAGCTGGTTCAGCAGGGATCCCTGGGATGGGACACAGGTGTTGCTTAGGAAAACACACCCTAAGGCGTCTGTGGCTTCACAGGACAGAAAAACCTGGGAGCTGCAGCCGTGACATGTCTTATGCAGCCATCACTCGGCTGCAAGGCTGCACCAGTGCAGAGACCCATTGGGGACAGAGGCGCTGCATTTGCACACCCTGTGTGCCTTCTGCTGTTAGCAGGCACCACTGGAACAGAGGTTCTTGTCTTCCTGTAAGAGAGAAGTCAGACGTGAGGCAGAAGTAGTGAGGTGTAGTGGGGTAGGACATCTGTCAGCACTGGTGGGCCCTGCTCAGGGTGGATCTGAGAGACAGACAGGGAGTGAGAGCAGCCACTCAGACCACGAAGAGCAAGGTCACAGCTTGATGGAGCATGTGGACCTGACAGGCCAGGCAGCCAGGCTGGCAGCTCAGGAAGGCACCAAGCTCACAGGGAGCACTGGGGCTGCAGCTTAGCTGTGAACAGAGATGCAGATTTTGCTGCCAGGGTTCCTGACAGGGTCCCCTTAGTGTGGGTGCTGTAAGCCAGCAGGCACAGGAACCCTCCTTCCCAGCTCCCGGCTAATGCCATGCCATCTCCCTCCAGCCAAGGAACGTTGTCACCTCTACTGCGAGTCCAAGGAGACCGGGGAGGTGGTGTCCATGAAGCGCATGGTGCACGACGGCACACGCTGCTCCTACAAGGACGCCTTCAGCCTTTGCGTGCGCGGGGACTGCAGGGTGAGTACCCTGCGGTCAGGGTGGGCTGGCCACAGGGAGTTGAGCTCAAGGCCATGACTGGGAGTGTGCATTTGCCTGAGCACCCGGGTGTCCAGCCAGGCTCAACCTGCACCAGGGCAGGGCTGTGTACAGGAGCACAGTGGGAGGCAGTGGGGTTGGCCGGATACAGGGGTAAGGAAGAGCCTGGGCCAGGTTCAGTGTCTGGAGAACCTGGGCCACATTCTCTACCCCCAGCCCTCAAAAAACTGCAAAACTAAGCAGGCACCCTTTTGGGATCCTTTAAATAATACTTTAGAAAAGGTAGGAAGCTGTATTGTGGGATGCCAAGCCCCGGCCTGGCTGAGGGCTGGGGAAACTGGCTGGATGTACGTGGGTCAGGTGAGTCAGATAAAGACAGTGTTGGGCTATATACTTAAGAGGGGTTGCTTTGCATGTGGAAAGTGTGTTCATGAGAAGAATGTTAAGCTGTCTAAACAGCAAAGTGCAGGCCAAGGGACGGACACACACACACACACACTCTCTCTCTCTCTCTCTCTCTCTCTCACTCACTCAGTGCTGGCCCTCAGTAGGGGGCGCCGTTAGCAGTAGAAGCAGCTGTCCATGGTTCTGAACCTGGGTGTGCTAATTCACCATCTCATGGGCATGACTGCAACCTCACCTCTGATCCGGACAACAGAAGCAGAGGAGGTCAAATGTCCTAATACCCTCTTGGGAACCTAACATGAGTGAACACCAGGTAGCTGTTGGGGGATCATCTAAACCCAATGGCTTTAAACAGGGCCTGTGGCATCTGCAGATTATATTTCTGTGCTGTTCCCCACAAAGATGTACCATGAAAGTCATAATACAGGAAGCAGAATGCATCAGGAAGGCCGTGTGAGAAGGTTACCATGATCCCCGGCAGGTCACAGAAAGATGGAGAGAGAAGAGGTGTGCCGACCTGCCCCAGGTGTGGCACACACGGCAGTGGCTTGGTGAAGCAGGCATGAGCGAGGCCGACAGGGTCCATGCTTCGGTGAATTCAGAACGCATCACCGCATGCAGGTTGTAAAACCTCTGTACAGTAGGGAGGGGCTGATGGACAGGACTGTATCACAGACAGAAAAGCCAGACCTCGTTAGCTCCCCACTGCCCCCAACCCTACCCCCAGGGGATAGTCACCCGCTAGCACTGCAACATCTTCCACCCCAGTTATTCTCTGCACCATCAGCCCTTTCAGAATTAAAGGGAAGAGCTGGTAGGCTAGCAGCATCATTTACCCTTCACAGCCTCATCTGCCTGGTGTTCCTGCCTACCTGAGTGAGGCCAGCTGCATGATGCTGGATGTTGAATGGCACCTGCATCATCAGGGGCTTTTCCAAGGATGAGATGTTGTCCCTGGGAACCCAGAGAGGGCTGCATTGCCTGGCAAGAGCAACGCCAGTAACTGCCTTATCTGTTGCCAGACAATATCCCTCCAAACTTCCAGAAAAAGGGATGCCAGGCTGCTGCTGCAGCTTGCCAGCACTGCTGGACGCAGAGCTTGGCTGTTCTCTGTCCCTTGTGACCCACTCTGTGCCTCTCAGCAGGAAACCCCAGAACCACTGTGGCTTCTCTTAGCATGCTGTACTTCCCTTCCCTCCTCTTCCCCATCTTCTTGCAGCCTGTCCAGTTGCCTGGTAGGACCCTTGTTAGAAAGAGCTCACAATTCCAGGCATAATTCATAAGCCAGACTCTGTGTGCACACCAGGATGCACCATCTTGACAGCTGCCAAGAATTCTACCCAAACACGAGTTCCCAAGATCTGCAGGGTAATGTCTGGGGCCAGGTCCTAGCCAGCCAGCTACCCTGTGCTTAGAGAGCAACATCAGGTCCATTGCTGTTACAAACAGTGTTTAGGGAGCACACTGTGGGGGTGCACAGACAGGGGTGATGCCTGTGCTCCCAGGCTGGGCCCACCATGCTGCCTCCTTTTGGTAGATGGGTTTTTCTCTAGAACCACCCATGTGAACACAAGCGTGCTCCTTGTACGGAATGCTTTTACCCTGCTCACTTCCAAAAGTGAATGAAAAAGCTGAAAACCAAAGATTGCGAACTTGAGCCCCTACAGAGGAGCTGCTCTTAGCTTTGTCAGGGTCTAGAGCCCCCCTACCCACCGTGGTCCTGGTAAGACCAGCACCAGAACACACAGTGCCAGGAGGAAGAGTTTCTCCTAATTGGTGCAGGAAGATTGCTAAGGGAGAATTAGCACCGAGCTTCCTGGCAGCCAAGAGGAAGGGGGGAATCTGTGATGCCATCAAGCACTCTGAGGGTGGTCAGTGGGCACAGACTAGCCCCAAAGAGGGATTTTCCTTGTTGAGCCTCGCAGTGGACACTGCTAGGACCATGGAAAATCAAATCACTTCAGTATGCTGTTGCCTCCCCCAGGTGGCCTGGAGCAGAGCATCGCCTTTCCTCTGGACAGAATAATTCTAGTGCAGGTGTGGCGGTGTTGAGTGGACTGGCCAGGGAGTGGACCTTAGGGTAGGAGCCTCTGAAGCCAGGCCTCTGCTGTACAGTGCCAGAGCAAGGGTGTCCCCTGAAGGCCTGCTGTGTCCTAACCCTTGGACCTCTGGGCCTGCAAGGGGGCATCATTCAGGTCACACTCCCGGAAGACGGCTAGCAGGCTTTGTCTTCCTCCTGAAACCAGAGCCTGATTTTCCCCCCCTGATAGTGGGCAAAGGGGTAACTGGTGCCAGGTCACAGGCAGGTGCTAGGGCGAGGAGAGGGTGTGCAGGTTACTCACAGCCTGCTTCCCCTGCAGAAGGTGGGCTGTGATGGGGTGATCGGCTCCAGCAAGCAGGAGGACAAGTGTGGTGTGTGCGGAGGAGACAACACCTGGTGCAAGGTGGTTAAGGGCACGTTCACACGCTCCCCCAAGAGGCACGGTGAGTCCCGCCCCTGGGTCAGTCCTGTCCTGGCAGAGGTGGGGGAGTGGAGAGCAAAGGGAGAGGGCCCCAGGTGACAGGGCAGAGAACAGACCTTAGGAAGCTCTACTGGAGTTCTGCCTTGCAGCAGGCTCCTCCCCAGCTGGCTTTCAGCAGCACTTCCCTGGGCTGCTAGGTGACCTGGAAGCATGGAAGGTCTGACTTCTCTGGCGCCTTGGGTGGGGCTAGGTGCTACGGGTCCCTTGCCAGGGGAGACAGGCTCTGGGGTGGGTTTCTGTCTTTGCCTCTTGCATTGTTGTCACCACTGTCCAGACTTGGGCACCATGTGAGTGAAGAGGTTTATTTGGATGTGACCTGGGTTCCCACAGGGCCTAGACCACATGAGGTGGAGAGGGTTGGTACTGAGTGGTAGAGGGCCCCCAGGCCCTGACCTGACTGACTCCCACCAGGTCCCTGTAGGTCCCACTACTTCCTAACTACCACCACCACCAGCAGCAGCACACAGGGCCCTTCCAGATGTGCTCAAACCACACTCATGCCTGGGGCTGTGCCTCCACCAGGCCTCAGCTCTTTGCACAGGCCAGCAGCTACCAACTGCATCCCTCTGGGCCTCCGTCAGCCCACCTCTGAAATGGGGAGAAGCCACTTTAGTTGACCTCTTTGAGAATAAAGTGATAGAGTGACCACGTGGACCTCATCCTGTACCCGGTGCTGGTCCAGGTCCTAAAGACAGGGGCTGTGGGCTGGCCTTAGTACAGCCCTACCAGAGGTTGGATGTCTGATGACACGTGCAGAGCAAGTGGCTGAGAATTACACAGGTCACGTGGAGTACCCAGAGCCTCCCTCCTAAACATGGCAGCTCTGAATCCCTGCCTGGAGGAATGCAGCCTGGACTCCCCACTGTGTTTCCAGTGGAAGAGGCCAGTGGGGTGTCTGGGTCTGAAGACAAGCAGAGGGGCTGGAGCCACTCTCCCTTTGGCCCCTCTCCTGGTGGGTGGTCAGAGCCCACAGTGGGTGGGTGGGGCTTGCCGACTTCTCACTGGGCTTTGTCCTCCTGTACTTGCACCAAGGCTACATCAAGATGTTTGAGATCCCTGCGGGAGCCAGGCACCTGCTCATCCAGGAGGCAGACGCCACCAGCCACCACCTGGGTGAGTCTCGGGTTCTAGACAGCTCAGCCTGTGGAGGAAGCAAAGTGTGGGGACCAGCTGAGTGGTGCATCGCAGACCCAGGCAGCCCTGCTCACCTGCTGGCCCAGAATTCCTGGAGCCTCTGCCTTCAATGAGGCCAGGATCTGGGACCTGAGTGTCAAGGCACGAAGGCATGGAGAGCTCCTCATGGCACACACAGCAGTCCCAGGGCGCCGAGGCCAGCCTGGGGAGAGCTTCCATGCTCTACTCTGGTTGTCACCCGTTTCCTTTTAAATTCCGAAGATTCTGGCTGACACGGGGCTTCCTGGCACTATGGACAGCATGGCTGTTTCAACAACGGCTTTAACAACCTCCCCCATGCCAATCCTGCCTGTGAGCTGGTGTACTCCACCTCAGTGGGGCCTCCTCCCTCAACCCCCAACCAAGTGTTAGTCCCTCTCTTATCCCTACTGCCCTGGGCCAGGGTCTTCCAAACTGTGACCTTGAATCAATTCCCGTCCCCCCCCACCCCCCCGCGCACACACCCACAAATAAAAGAAGCAGCTCTCAGCACCTGAGCTTCCGGGTCAGCCACTCGAATGCTTAATGTTACATCATTTTTCTATCAAGAAAAGGCTTGTTTGCTTAAGTTTTCACTGACAAAATGCTTCTCTGTTGTTGCAGTTTCCAGGTATTTTCATTTTTTAAAACAGAATATGGTGGAAAGCGGGCTGCTGGCACTGATCCCTTTTTTGAGGGCCTGAGGCTGTCTCCACACTTTCTAAACAATGGCGTCTACAGCGCCACGAGTATCTCTGTTCCTTTGTTGTCTGTGTGGGGTCACTGGGTCAGGGAGCATGGACGTTCGGGGGTTCTGCTGCCTCTCCAAGGCCTCGCCAGCAGGCACCATCCCTGAGCCCTGGGTGTGAGAGCTGCAGTCAAAGGGCTTGCTTTCCTGTTCTTCCCAACACAGCCCTCTGAGAGCCGCTGGCTGAAGTGTCTGCACAAGGACTCCCCGGAACTGGAGCTGGGAGGAGGAGTGTGTTTCCATGGACAGTCCTCATCCGACATGGAGGAGTCAGACCCTCCCTTCAGTCAGGAGCTGCCCAGCAAAAGGTGCCAGGCTGTACCCAGTGCCCTCCAGGAGGCTCAGGTGGGGACTGATGAGACAGGCGCTGCTTGCTGACACAGGGATGCTTGCTGAACTCTGTGAGCAGCTCACACAGTGACATCAAGGGGTAGGGGCTTAGGGGTGTTGACCGGGGCAGGAGGTTTACACTGGCGAAGCAGATACTGCAGACTGCACAGGAGCTCAGCTCTCTGCAGACACCGCCTGAGGCACCATGGGAGGTAGATGGACCAGCCGTGGGGCAGAGCTGCCTGGCAAGCACAGGACAGCCCATCTGCCATTGGGCTGCAGCTGAGTGGCTGCATGGAGGCTCCCTACCTCCTGTGGCCAGCCAGGTTGCCAGGGAGGCTGCGGGGCACTGTGCTGGCAGGACTGGACTATTGACAGCACTTTCCTCCCACCAGGAAATGGAGCCCGAGTCGGCCCAGCTGTTGCACAAACGTGACATCCCAGACTTGGGCACTCCCAGGGGCACCTGGCCACCCCAGAAGGTTGGTGATAGGGAATATTGCTTCCACTTTGCTCCCAGTGATCACCAAGCACACACAGAACTGTTGAAGTATGAGTTTTACCCCCCAAAGCTCAGCTTCCTGTTCTTGCCTGTGTGGAGCCTCCTTTCTCTGCCTGCTCCCTTCGCTCCCTGCTCATCTCATGAAATTAACTCAGCCAAAAGGGCATCGTGACACCCTGGGGTCCACTGAGGTTGGCCTGGCCTTTCTGCACACCCTGCCACCCTTGCCCTCTCCAGGCTCATGCTCCCTTGCTGAAGGCATTCAGTCACTTGGTGTGTGTTCCTGCTCCCAGGAACCCAACAGGCCCCACTGCACATTTAGTGCTGCAAAACTCAGATCTTGCTTTATGCTGTCATCAGTGTGTAAAGAGCCCTGCCAGAGGCCTGCTGACAGGGGTCACCTTAGCATAGATCTGCCACGGCCAACTTCACCTCATGCAGGCCTCCAGCTGGAAGCCAGAAGGCCAAGTTCAGATTCTGGTGTTGTCAGGAGTAGCTTTGAGACCTAAGTCAGCTTGTGGCTCTGAATCTCCCAGTGACAGCAGAGCCTTGCAGTTCCTGTGTGTGATGTTCTTGTCAAGTCTGTTTTGTCTTGCCCTCTTTCTCATTGTCTGGGATGCAGAGTTGCAGCGACCCACTCTGAGGTCCTGTGAAGTGGTAAGCCTAACTGTCAGGACATCTTTGGTTGCTAAGCAGGAGCCACAGCAGGGGTCAGGGGGTCCTGGCCAGACTAGGTCCCAACATGTGGCCTTAAACAAGCTCCTTGTCCATGGAGCCCCAAAAGATATCCCGGCACCTTCCACGTGCAGGGAGGGAGGGGCTGAGGCCTGAGGGGAGCTCCCTGACTTTCCAGGATGTCTGCTGGGGCACACTCTATCCTCCTGGAGGGTCTGCCATAACTATGAGTGGTCTCGCTGTCTGACCCCTTGCCCACACAGATGTCTGGACAATGTGGTCAATGAGCAGAGTACTTCCCCACCAGTGCCACACCTCCATGCCTTGCTGACCAGTGGAGACGAGCCTCCCACACAGACAGACATCTTTGACCTCCTCAAAGCCTCCTATGAGGTCAGCACTCAGTGGGGAGGTTTGGGGGGTGACAGCCCTGCACCCCATGGCTGTGCATTGTCTCACCTAATCATCCCCACCTGCCTGCAGAAATTCAGCATCCTGCGGGCCAGCGACACTGAGCAGATGCGGTTTAAACAGGCTGAGAGTGATCCAGTGCTTGGAGGACACAGCCAAGAGGAGCGTGGTATGTGGGCGTGGGGGGCTTCCACTCAGGCCTGTCTGTGGGGCAGGACGCACACTCCCCTGCTGCCTCACCACCAGTGTCAGCATTAGGATGTGTGGGACCAGGCAGGGGCATGGCGGGGAGAGGACATGGTCGTTTTATTCTGCTCCCAGATGGGCCAGTGGGAAGCCTGTCTGAAGCCCCGTTCCCCCAAGGCATAGCACCCTCTGTCTCCCAAGCTCTGCCACATGTCCCTTCCCCTCGCCCCGAGCATCCCACAGCTGCCCTCTGAGCACCTGCGTGCCGTGCCTCTGCCTCCAGCCTTCATCCTCCGCATCCCTGGATGGGTGCAGGTGCCCCTGCCACAGGATCTACTCATGGTCTCTTGACTGCCAACCTCGTTCCCACTTCCCCAGTGCCCCCCACAAACCTTTCAGACACTCTGAGGTCACAAGTGACAGAAACGGATGGCTCCAGCTGACTGAGAGCAGCTGGCTGGTGGTTTCAGGACCCCTTCCCAAGAGCTGGCAGCTGGGTCACAGCAGAGGTCCAGACAGGAGGAACTAAACAATGTCCCATGTCCCCCACTCTCAGCCCACTAGGGCACAGACCTCAGGGAGCTTGCACTGAGTGGCAGGCTGGGTGATGAGAGGCCAACAGGGCAAGGCCCTGCCCTCAGTGGGATGGCCGACTTGCCACACTGAGGGGCAGCTCGTGCCTTTGCCCTGGTCCCTGTGACAATCTGTCTCCTGCTGCAACAGGCACTTGAGAGTCCCTCAGCCCAGCCTGTCTCTTTCTTCTAGGTCCGAGCCATACCTGGGGACACTGGCTTCTCCACAGAAGAGCTGGAAGACCTTTACATGGTGTTTAAGGTAAGAGCCGAGAACAAGGACAGGACCTGTAACTGTGACCTTGTCTTCCTAGAGCATCCTCAGCACAGAGGTTCCTGCTGGAAGAGAAGGGGTTTGGAAGCATCCGTGCATGCACTTGCTGTGAAGTCGCAGTGGTAGAAGTTAAGCCTTGTTGGAGTTTAGGCAGAACACTCCCTTAGAAAGCACAAGGCAGCTTACAGCAGAAGTTCATGGGCTCAAGGAACTGCAGAGTTGAGGGAGACAGTGTCAGGCCTGGCTGGATCCAGGGACTCAGATGCAGTGTTGTACACTCTCTCACCGTCTGATGTTCTCTGAACTGCGCTTCCTGCAGAGTCCATGGCTGTCTGTAGCTCCAGGGACACGCTATCCCCTCAGTAGCCCCAGGACAAGGGAACCTTTCTTCCAAATGATCAGACTGACTCAAGTTAGGCACTGGATTCAAGTTAGGTTGGCGTTGACTGTTAGGCAAAAAGGAAAAAAAATTAAGATTTATAGTCTAGTGGCTAAAGTCCTCACATTGTATGCACTGGGATCCTATGTGGGTGCTGGTTTATATCCTGACTGTTCCACTTCCCTTCGAGCTCCCTGCTTCTGGCTTGGGAAAAGCAATCAAGGATGGCCCAAGGCCTTGGGACCCTGCAGCCACATGGGAGACATGGAACAAGCTCCTGGCTCCTGCCTTCAGATCAGCTTAGCTCCAGCCAGGGAACCAATGGATGGAAGATCTTCTTCTCTCTTTCCTTCTCTCTGGTAAATCTGCCTTTCTATTTTAAAGATATACACATCTTAAAACTATGCTCCAAAACAAAAGTGAGTGCCTCCAGGGGCCTGACCCTGCCTTGGCCTTTTCCCATGGCATCCCTGGCCAGTCTGTCCTTCCCTCCCTTGTGGGGCTGGGGCAGCTGGCCGCAGGGAAGGCTGAGCTGGCCTGGCGATACTCTGAGGAAGCCTGGGACTGGCTCCCGGGCCCTCTGCTGCTGTGAGGAGGTCCTGTCCCAGCCCCCTGGAGCCTGCACCGTCCTGGGGAGCCCCTCTCATCATTCCCTCCTCCTGCCTTCTCCCACAGGCGGGATGTACCACGGGGACATGACTGAAAAGCTCAAGGTGCTCTACAAGCTGCACCTTCCCCCAGGTGAGCACGTGCCCCCACACCCCTGGATTGTATGAGGCACTGATTGCACTTTAACCTGAAAGACACTGGGTGTTTACACACTCACCTAAGAATCAGAAAGTAGCAAATAATCCAAGCCAGTCAGCCTTAAAACTGCCACACGGGTCATGGTGGCAGGGGGAGGGTGGCCAGGATGGTCAGGCCAGTCCAGCGGGAAAGGGCAGGTGCGGTCTGCCCAGGAGCTGGGATGCTTGCTCTAGGTGAGACTCTCACTCTACCCATCTCGGAGTGCAGCCCTAAACTCTGAGGAAGCCGAGTCAGCCCTGGAGGCCACCCACTATTTCACGGAAGACAGCTCCTCAGAAGTGAGTGGCTCCCTGAGGCTTCCAGCTGGGGGGCTGGGGGCATTGGGGTGTCCTGAGAGGGGTCTCAAGCTGGGGCCCACCCTGGCTTCCTGCAGCCAGGTGTCCCTGTGGGCAGGCAGTGATCTCACTCCTGTTTCTCTTGTGTCTGTCTTCTTGGATCTCGGCTCCTCCTCCCTCTGCCCTCCTGCTCCTATGCTGTCCTCCCAGCATCTCCTCTGGCCTCTGATCTGGATCTTTCCCTGCCCTCGGAGGCTCAAGGTCAGACCCGGAGCACAGGAAGGCTCCCTTGGCTTTGGGTGGCAGCATCCCCTCACACCCCCATCCCCACTCCTGTCCCAAGGCCCCCAGGCCTGGTGGACTCTACCACTGGCACGTGTGTCCTGCTGTGGGGTGGTTAGTAGGTGAGGACATGCACAGGGCCATGGGTCAGCATAGGCAGAGGAAGGAAAAGCAGGGGTGGTCACTGCAACCGCGGGAAACAGACCACAGGGACCAGGGGAAGCCGGGCAGGGTGGGGCAGATGCTCTCCTCAGAAAGCACAAAGAGAAGAAATACGGATGTTGAGCCGTTAGAACCCATCCTTATCCTCACGCTGCATTTAAAGTGTAAAGCACAAGCTGCCAAGTGCCTCCTGGACCCCAGGACTTGATGACACGGCTGGCGACCACTCTGTGCTGTGACGTCATATGGCAGGCCCAAAGGGGAAACAAATAGTGTGTGTGTCGAAGGACCCACAGGTTCTGCTGACCGTGAAGGCTTAGCTCACGGACCCGGAGGGCCTTGGCTTCCAGTAACAGGCCAAAGCAGCAGGTGTGCTTCCTGTTACACATGGACCCTGGGCAACCTGGGACGCTTTAAGCTTGTGCTGTGTGCTTCTGGGTGAAGAACCCTGACCTCAGACCCCACAGCACCCCAGGCCCTGCACTGTCACCCATGCTCACTGAGGCAGTTGAGGGCTGGGCTACTTCTGTCCTCGCCTGTCTTCTGGCAGCAGGCCTGGGAGACCAGGGCAGCTTGTTCCTCCCCAGGTTCATGTTCACACGTGAACCGCACAGTGTGGTCCTCCTCCAGCAGATGTGCTGAGCACAGGGTTCATGTCTGTCAAGTTCCTTCCCTCCTGGTGTAGCTGTCATAGGTGTGATCCCACACACGTGACCTTTTCCTAACGAAACCACAGGATTCATCAGTTCTCAGGCTTGTCCATCACACCGCATTGCTGTTTGCATATAGGGGAGACTTGTAGTCCTCTGGAAAAAGAAAACAAAGAAGCAAACACGGAGTGGGATACAGCTGCTGCTGCTTTCATTGATCAAGTGGGGAAATGCCCAGGCCCTCCTTGACGGTGGTACCGGAGGGCAGAGCCCAGGGTCAGGCCAAAGCAGGAGGCTCCGTGCAGGGAACCAGAACCCGGGGCTGCTCCCGCACAAGCACGGGCTGGACCTCGGCAGAGGTGGGCTGCAGTCCCAGCTGGAGAAGAATGTGCTCCATGTTGTTATTTCCTGGTTGGCAGAGGCACTACCACAGGAAGATCGGGAAGGAAGCAGAAGTGAGGATACCCAAGAAAAGCGAGGAGTTACAGGCCATTCTCCCCTGACGGCCAGTCAGGGTCTCAGGGCTGAGGTCTGGGGTTTCATGTGGGCTGTGTCCATCCCCAGTCACTTTTGCAAAGCTCCCCCACTGCCTGGCGCCCAGTTGACAGGCATGCCCTGAAGGTCAGTGACCTTGGCTGGAGGCCCTGCTGTCCCCTGTGATGCCTGGTGTCCCCTGTGAAGCTCTCAGCTCCTCAGGCCAACCTCTCACAGCCTCAGGACCATCCTCATCCCATTGAGCCATCCCTTCTTCAGGGCATTCTCCCCATCAGCACCTCCCCAGATGCAGGTGCTTTGTAACAGGGCCCATCCCACCCCTTGACCCCAAGCTCAAGCCCTCTTTCTGTCGTGACAGACCGAGAGTAATGTCTTTTCCTCCTGACTCACAGAGGAGAAGGGGACCAGCCACCCAGACTACTGACACTACCTTCGCATGTGGGCCAAGGAGAGAGAGGCTCAGAAGGAGACCATCAAGGATCTGCCCAAAATGAACCAGGTGGGCCAGGCTGGAGGCTGCAGCAGACACCTCTGCAGAACCCTGAGGGACACCGGGGCCCAGCATGCCATGTCAGCACCACGCCCCAGGGTCCACACAGGGTGGCACTCATCACTCACTAGCTCACTTCAGTGCCCAGGAGTCCCAGTGAGGATTCTGGAAAGTCAGGAGCTTGTTGCTCAGGGGCCATTTGCACAGGGACCACTTGTTCAGGTGGAGGGACAGTGGTAGGTCTGAGCAGCCCTGGGGAAGGTTACCCCACAGCTGCTTCCTCACACTCCCTGCCCAGGCACCCTGTGCACACAGGCTTGTCTGCTCTCCACTTCCTGCTCTCTGGGGACAGCAGCTTCTTTGTCTTCCCAAGGGTCTCCCAGCAGGAAGGGGCAACCCATGGGTTCAGCTGCAGAAAGTAGCCAGAGGCAGTCCCTGAACTACAGCCTGCCCTTAGTGCTTGGGCTGGGCTGGCCCTGGCTATGCCCAGAGGGGCCCTGTGAGCCTAAGCCTTCTGCAGCCTGAGGAATGGGTGGTCTCACCCCTCTCTCAGGCCAGGATGTGGTTTAGAGACCCAAGACCACCCTCACCCCCTCAGCAGCACCCTCTGGGAGCTTCCCTGAAGGTCAGAGTTGAAGTCGCTTTCACCCAAGAGCTAGAAGGCCAAGGGTGAGGCCAGACCCCAGGGAGGAAGCCATGGTCAAGGCCGGGTTCACACAGCCATGCATCTCCAACAGCAGAACCACATGTCGGAGCAGAGAGCCCAGCTCAGAGCTGCTGTCCACTGCAGGGGGAGAGCCCGTCAGGGCAGTGACTGCTTAGGTCCCTCCCGACTCTGAGCCTCCACATTCCCGTGTGTGAAGTAAGACTAGAGCACTGGTCTGGCATCGATAAACAGGACCACATCCTGGCACCAGTCCCAGTGGCCAGCAGCATGCGTGGAGTGAACACCAGGGCCATCTTACCATCTCCTTGTTCTGCCTTCCCCCTTGATTGGAGCAATTCATTGAGCTGTGCAAGACGCTATACAACATGTTCAGTGAGGACCCCCTGGCGCAGGACTTGTACCACGCCATTGCCACAGTGGCCAGCCTCCTCCGCATCGGCGAAGTGGGGAAGTTCTTCAGTCCCAGTGTCAAGAAGCCCATGGGTGGCACTGCCCAGCAGGGACCAGGGCAGTTCCACCGAGGATGAGTCCCCACTACCAGCAAGGGAAACCCCTCAGGCTCAGTACAGGAGCTCCAGCCGCCAGCCATGGGGCATCCCCAGTCACCAGCAAGGGAACCCCTCAGAACCCAGTACAGGAGTGCCAGCCACGGGGGACCCTCAGTCACCTGCAAGGGAATCCCATCAGGACCCAGTACAGGAATGCCAGCCGACAGCCACGGGGGACCCCTGGACCAAAGCTGGTGGAGACACCCACCTTGGAAAAGTGCCACAGGAGAGACAGACGGTGGTAGAGGGGGGCAGTGGAGAGGGGCAGGGCTCACCCTCCCAGCTCCCGTCTGATGATGAAACCAAATACAACATATCCATGTCCTCCTACTCAGTGGTCAGCATGGGCTCCCTGCAGTGTGAGAACCCCACAGCCACTGCCCGCATTGGGAACACCATGGACGCAGACTGGTGCATCTCCTTCAAGCAGATCCTGGCCTCCATCCTGCCGGAGTCTGTGCTGGTCAACTTCTTTGAGAAAAGGGTGGACATTGGACTCAAGATGAAGGACCAGAGGAAAGTAGAGAGACAGTTGAGTGCCTCCAGTGAGCACGAGCCATCTGTTGCTCTGGGCTGAGCCCCTTGGCTGAGTGATTCTGGCCAAGGCCTCTGTCCCTCCCTCCTTCCCTTTGCAGTTTCTCATTAAAGACACAGCCCTCCTGCTCCCCCTTGGAAGCAGTGAGTTGTAAGTGAAAGGAAGGCTGATCCAACACAGCTGTCTTAGAAAGAGTCTCTGGGTCTGCATCCCCTAGCACAGGCCAATCCTGGGAACCAAGAATAAGTGGCAGCTCCTCCATTCCTCTCTGCCTGTGGCCTAGGAAGGCAGGAGAGGACAGCCCAAAGCCTTGAGACCCTGCACCCACGTAGGAGACTTGGAAGAAGCTCCTGCCTTCTGGCTTTGCATTGGCTCAGCTCTGGATATTGCGGCACTTGTTGAATAATCCAGTGCTCTCACTAGGGGAGTGAATCATCAGATGGCAGATCTTCCCCTCTGTCTCTCCTCCTCTCTGTATATCTGACTTTCCAATAAATAAATAAATAGTTTTTTAAAAGAAAAGAAAATCATGATTATTTTACATTGTTGATCATTATTTATGGTTAATAGTATTTATACTTATCTTTAACCTGAAAATAGGAAAGCAAATGAGAAATGACTCAAAACAGTAAGGAAATCTAATACAGTGGGTGCAAACAAAACTAACACAATCTCCACAAGTTAATCTGCCTTTTATATAACAAACAACTAGTTACATGGAAGACCCAGAAGAGCTCATGGCTTCAGCCGGCTTGCCTGGCACAGCTGCTGCAGCCAGATGGGAAAGGAAGCAGCAGATGGTAATCTGTGTCTCTCTTCTTCTGTCACTCTGCCTGGTAAAGCCACAAAACAGCAGCTTTGAGCTCTGTCTCACTCAGCCTTTCCAGAAGTAGTCATTTCTGGAAATCTGCAGATATGGCTCTGGCACAATGGCTCAACTGGCTAATCCTTCACCTCCAACTGTAGCATCCAAGTGGGTGCTAGTTCATGTTCCACCTGATTCACTTGCCATCTAGCTTCAGGCTAATGGCTTGGGAATGCAGTAGAGGATGGCCCATAGCCTGGGGCCCCTGCACCCATGTGGGAGACCTGCAGGAGGCTCCTGGCTCTAGACTGGTTCAGTTCTAGCCATTGCAGCCATTTGGGGAGTAAGCAATGGATGGAGGAGCTTTGTCTCTTCTCTCTAGAAATCTGATTTTCCAATAAAGTAAACTTTAAAAAAACCTGCATATGCGTAACCACTGGAAAGGAACTCACTGGGGAGCAAGTGAGAGATGGTATGGCGTGTAAGATCTCTACAACTGTATGCTTCTGTCTGCCATCTATTAAATGATGAAACAGTTTGATCTTTCCAGAGCTCAGCATTCTAGGCTCTGTAAGAGGGAAATGCTCCTTAAATTAGGGGCTCTTGCAAAGAAATGGGAGAATGCCTGTGATGCAGATCTACAGCTGCGTTATCCTCCTCTGGGTTCGAATCCTTTTTCAGAGTTGAAAATGACCATGAGAACTGCACTACATTATCCACGTGCAGCAACTTAAAGATGCAAATAATTTCCATTCCATCAACTCTCAGAATACACTGAATTTGGGAAGTAATACATGGGCTCAGCTCAGGCCGTTGCTATTTGCGGAGTGCACCAGTGGAATTTCTCTCTCTCCTCTAGGAAACTTGTTTTTCAAATAAAAATAAAGTGGCTTTAAAAAAGATGTATTTCTTTTTGGCCCGGTGTGATAGCATAGTGATTAAAGTCCTCACCTTGCGCGTACAGAGATCCCATATGGTCGCTGGTTCTAATCCCAGCAGCCCTGCCTCCCATCCAGCTCCCTGCTTGTGGCCGCAGAGGGCAGTCGAGGATGGCCCAAGTCCTTGGGACCCTGCACCCAGGTAGGAGACGCACAAGAGCTCCTGGCTCCTGGTTTTGCATTGGCTCAATTCTGGGTGTTATGGTCGCTTGAGGAGTGAATCATCAGACAAAGGGTCTTCCTCTTTGTCTCTCTTCCTCTTTGTAGATCCTTTTTAAAAGACGCATTTATTTTTGTTTTAAAGGCAGATCTACAGAGACAAGCAGGGACGGAAAGAAAGATCTTCCATCTGCTAGTTCATTCCTCAGTGGCCACAACTGAACTCATCTGAAGTCAGGAGCCAAGAACTTCTTCCAGGTCTCCCACATGGGTGCCGGGTCCCAAGGCTTTGGGTCATCCTCAGCTACTTTCCCAGGCCACAAGCAGGGAGCTGGACGAGAAGTGGAGCAGCCAGGACTACAACCGGTGTCCATAAGAGATCCTGGCGTGTGTAAGGCCAGGGCATTTGACAATAGGCTACCGCGCCAGGCCCATACATAAAACTTTAAGAAGCAAATTAAAAATCTCTTGAGGCCCTAAAGTAGTTCTTATCTAAAATGCCTAGCCTTTAATGCTAACAGACACCCACTCAATAGCTGCATCTGAGGGGCAGCGTAAGAGCTGTTTCTCTCAAGAGACTGGCATCATGGGGAAAGCATTTGATACAAAACGTGCTTTCGCCCCTAAAAGTCTACTGGCTGTTTAACACACATCTTACAAAGTCAGTCTTACAGATGCCAGGACACAGCCGACCAGCACAGGACCAAGAAGGGGTGTCCTTTAGAAGGACACAGGCAGCGCCAGCCGGCAGGAGAGGACAAGCTGTGAGGCTGGTTGGGGCACAGGTGGAAGCAGAGCCCCAGGATGTGGTGACAGGACGCCCATGGCGGGGAGGGGTGCTTCTCCCATGAGAAGCCTGAGGGGCACTGCGGGGTCCCGGGATGCCACCCCCACCCCGCCTGGGTCCCACAAGGTTCCCCAAATGTCACTAGACTTCACCAGAGCCCGCCTCTGCAGAAGCCACTACTCCCCCAAACCTACAACAGAGAGGCCGGGACGACGCCGGAGGGACGCGACCCCACACCACACCTGCCACCCGCGGGAGGCCGGCGCCCAGCCCACCTGGTGCGCTTGGAAGAGGCCGCAGCTGCAGCACCTGAGGACGCGGCAGCGCTGAGGCGGCGCCATGGGGCCTCCCACCCAGAGCCTCCCGCTCCCGCGCTCCCCTGCGCCCTCTTCCGGCCGTGCGCCTGCGCGCTCTGCCGGCCCGCCCCGCCCCCACAGGCCTCTGCTGGCCCAGGGGCGCCATCCCCACTTGAGGGGATCCGGAGGTTGTGGCTGCCCCAGCTGCACTTAGGGCCTTGGGTCGCAGTCAGCCGTTCACGGACTTGGCGGCTCTCCCAGGGCGTTTCCTCCGGGTCGCGGTTGCCCATTGCTGTTCTCTGTGCAGGATCGCCAGGGAACAGAAGAGCCGGGAAGGCTCCCCACACTGCGTCCAGAGACCCCTGAGGATGGAAACCCACACCGGGCACCTTGGAAGGCACAGGGCAACTTAGCTAGGACTGTGGAGAATTTCCCAACGCCTAGCCCTTTCAAGAATCTCCTCAGAGTCCCCTCAGCGCATGCTGCTGCAGTACAAAACAAAAATGGGGACAAAACCAAAAACATCAGAAAGCAGCCTGGACATCTGCTGATTCCTAGGGCGGGAACCCTAAACCTAAACCCAAGCCCAGCCCCAACCCCAAACCTAACCTTTGTCATTTGTGAGCTTGGAGCTCAGCCCCTGGGCCACAGCACTGAATTAGGCCACATTCTTGCAGAACCCTCCTCAAGGTGTAGGTTTCTTTGAGAAAAGACCCTGAATTGTTACTTAGAACTACACGGAAACCAAAGCTTGATTTGGGCCAGGAGGATGGTCATTAATTAGAAGGTCTCCTAAAATAGCTTAGTTCTCCAAACTTGCCAGGTAGGGGCCATCACTCCTACTCCATTTTTCTCATCCCTGTTGTTAGACAAAGGAAATGTGGCCTGGGGGAGGGTGGACTGCAATATTCCTGTGCTGGGAAACTTTGTAACAAGAAGGTGAGCCTCAGCCAATGACATCAGCCCAGATTCTCTTCCTGGCAGGCAGTTAAAAGTTTCCAGGAAGACAGGCAACTTTGTAACAAGCAGGTGAAGCTGTTTTTGTTCCTCCCTTCTCTTTGCTTTCCACAAAGAGTGTGCTGAGGTCTTAGAGCTGGTGCTTTTTCCTTCTTAAAAAACTGCCTCATTCAACTTGTCTACTGGTTGTTTTTTTTCCTTTTCACACCAACTTAATATTAAAAATGTGTTTTCATTTTGTGTAGAATTGATTTATATCTTAAAGAATCTAATATAGGTTAGTTGAAATGGCAATTCTTATATACACTGGCAAATCATATCATGTTTTAGGATATTGCCCTTAAGTCACTATCAAGCAAAGGTTTGTTTTGGTGCAGCAAGTGAAGCCACCATTGAGATGCCTGCATCCCATCTCGAGAGTCCCATTGGAGTCCCCGCTACTCCTCTTTTGATTCAGCTTCTTACCAAGGCATCCTGGGAGGTGATGGATGATGGTTCAGGTGCTTGGACACCTGCAACCCCTGTGGGAAATTCAGAGGGACTTCCAGGTTCCTGGCTTTGGCTACACCCACTCTGGGGAATTGATCAGCAAGCAGGAGATACCTTTGTCTCTGCCCTTCAAGTCAATGGAAATAATAAGCAATATAAAACAGTTCATTCTGAATTTGAATAAAGAAGAAAATGTAAGTTTAAAGACTTATACAAATGCATAAATATCAGTGAAACGAGTTTTGTATAATCACTTACTGCATCAATTTTAAATGGTTGTTCTTCTGGGGGCCCGGTGTGGCAGTCTAACAGGTAAAGTCCTTGCCTTGCGCATGCTAGGGTCACATATGGGTGCTGATTCACATCCCAGCAGCCCCGCTTCCAATCTAGTTCCCTGCTTGCAGCCTGGGAAGGCAGTTGAAGACTGCTCAAAGCCTTGGGACCCTGCGTCTGCCTCGGAGACCCAGAGGAGGCTCTTGGCTCCTGGCTTTGGATCTGCTCAGCTCTGGCTGTTGCAGCTGCTTGGGAATGAATGGGTGGATGGGAGATCTTTCTGTGTGTCTCTAAGGTTCTTCTCTGTACATCTGACTTTCCAATAAAAAAAAAAGTTATTCTTTTCAGTCATTTGTTTTATGCACCCTTGGTAGTTTCTGAGAAATCTATGCCAGTTAGACCTCAGTAAAGCAAACTCCGCATGGCAGGCTGCTTAGGCTAAAACTATGTCCTTGCTGTG